ATTTTTAATAATTTATTTATTCATATCTCTTGGTATTAAGAAAGGGAGGTCAAGCCAACTGTATTGTAAAGGCTTCAAAGCAAGACTGATGCATTAATAATCCTGCAATAGCTGCCATTTGATTCCAAGGCAATTACTTAAGAATACAGCATGGCTTAACAGAGTGGTGCTTTAATGAGTTGTTCTCGTGCTTTTCCCTTCGTTTCATATGGTTCTTCCAGTTCTTAATGGTGTCTTGGTAACTTGTAGTAATTGAAGACAAATGGAAAATATTCGTGATGCAAAACAATATGACAGAAGATGTGTAAGGGAAAAGGGATGGGTGTCTCCTTAAGGCATCCATTTATTAAAAATCAGAACAGAAAAATAACTTCTATTTTAAATAATTTATTTTTACTTGATAAATTAGTTCCAGATCGTGTGCAAGGCAGTAAAAGACATGTTAAGGTGGTTAACAAGAGAGAACTAAATTGGAGAACTGTGAGGATAAGTGGAAGAGCTGGGACTGTGAAGTTCCTATTTAGCACAGTTGTGTGAACACTTGTGTTTGTGGTACTGAGAGCAAATCACCAGTGCTTTGGTAATGACAGACAGACACAGCACTGGGAACCCCTCACAAAGGAGCTGTCTTTGGGATGCTGAGTGCAGCATCCCAATCTTCTAGCTCTGCTGATGATCTGCGTGGATCTAAGATGAGCAGCACATGTGCCAGTCCCGTGATCAGAGATGTGTTAATGTGCTGATACCCCTCAGTTCAGTGAATTCAAGTGTCAGTGCAGGATGTGCTGGCATCTGGCAGTCCATCTTCCTTGCAGAGAGCTTCATCATCCTGGTCCATCTTTAAATCCAGGAGCAGAGGTGTGCATCCTTCAGTGTGACTGCAGTCCTTGGGGCCATACCACATTCATACAGCCCAGAGCATCCCAGCCCTGCAGACCCGTGCTCAAAAGATTACGGGGCACTAAGCATCAGACTTGAATTAACGCTGAAATCTCCTACTGCATAAAAACTGTCAGATTCCAAACTAAAGCCACAGACTTTGCTTTTATCCTTCAGAACTTGGCTGGACAAAGCTGAAAGAGGCAACATTCAGATAAATCTAGGTTCAGCACCTTCCCTGGCCTAGGTGTCAGATTTGTGGTGCTTACGTAAATGTGGAGATAAATCCATGGATTTCTTTGATGATGTTTTGATTTCAGGCAGGTGCAGTGGGTATTAGACTGGGACCAAGTGCTCCTGAGCTAGACTGTCCATGTTTTTGGGGGGAGCAAGCCAGCAGTGTCAGACAACAAGGGAGAGTGGGATCAAACCACGGAGATCTTCACGGGCAGGTCGGAAGGAGACGATTGTGGAGGATGAAGGGGGACACTCAGCCTCTGGGGTGACCTTGGTACCCTGAGCATCAACTCAGGAGAGCACTTGACCTGGAAAAACAAGGTGGATAAAGGGAGGACTGGTCTCAGTGTGGTGTCTGGCCACGGCTCCTCCTCCTCTGGAGATGTTTTAGGGATGAAGAGTGAGATGAAGGCTGTGCTGAGCAGGGAGGATTCCTCAGTTCTGTTATCTCACTGCAGCGCCAGTGGTATTATCAAGACAAATAGGAATGCCAAAACTTAAAAGTGAACATATGTTTATGGGGGTGGTGGGGAATACAGAGGTCACTGTTGTTTCTTTCTGCTCAGAGAAGACATAATGGGGCCTGGTTTAGATAAATTAAGATTTGGAGCTAAGCTCGTGTCAAGACAACGCGAGTGTAATTATAAGTTGACTTCTCTCAGGGTCCCTGAAGTTTTTAGAGTCAAATAAAAATGTTTAGCAAGAGTTTTATAATGTAGTTCAACGGTTTAATGTGAGCCGATTGCAGCTCAGCCTTGTTGGCTCCTGAACCAATTTTACTTTGATTTGAAAAATTTTCAGTGAACTTCCAAATGTTTCCATGTCATTTCAGTCTTCTGTTTCCTCTCTCTCTGGACTTCATTTATAATTTGCTATTTTTGATGTCTTTTTCCTCCTGTATTTCTTTATTTCCTTAAGCACCTGGGTGCTGGCATGCTTAATTATTTTTTTATTCCAGTTAAAGTTGTCACGGTGCTTTTCCTAAATTTTATTTTAAGATATAAAATAGTTGCACTGCTCATTTTTAGTAGAACTTTAAACCAGACAGGTTGATTTATTTTTTTTAACAACTAAAACATAAACCCATATTTCTGCCTAGCGGGATTGTTTGGAATTCTGGTTTTGAATTTGAAGGCGAAAAAAGGTGTAAAATACCTGTGATTTACAAACTGCTTCCTTTGGAAAGTCTCTGATCTCCTTGCAAGATGTTGTTTCAAATCTGGTTTATATTTCCATCACTCTATAACTGGTAAGGAGCAAATAAACCATACCTTCTATAATACTTAGAGAGAATAAAAGTACAAATGCTCTTTATTAAAATGTGGAAAAACTGTAATAGGAAAACAAATCCATCCTGTTATTTCCCAGAAATGGAAGCATTTTAAGTGCTTTGCTTTTCATAAAAGGGGCAAATGATTTTTTCAAAATACAGTACAGAATCAGTGCTGTAATGCTAATTGTATTTAATAATAGTAATTTAAATTTGGCTGCTCTCTACCGAGCAGCAGCGAGAGAAGATTTTATGTGGGAACATTGAAGTCCAGAAGTGTAACATATGGTGTGGTTTGGCCTTCAGAGAGTCTCTGTGCACCCATGAAACAGCTCAACTGCATGAGTGTCCCTGGTGGTGCCCCTTCCTTCTCACCCCATCCCCGAGCGGTGCCTGACACTCCCCAGCATGGATTTACACATCCTGGGGCCTCCCTGCCTTTGGCACTTCGTTCCACAGGCTCATTTCAAGTACTTCTCGTGTGAAAATGTTCTCTCCAAATCGCTTCTGTTCTCTTTCCCTAATGAGCATCAGTCCATCTGTGATTGCTCCAATTCGGATTATTAAGTGGGTTATTCACAGCCATCAATCCCTTGCTCTGTGGCACATTAGATGCCTTGGGAGATTCCAGTGCCTTTCCGTGGTTTTTCTTGGTAAACTCCTGAAAGACCAGCATGGCCAACTCTTCTTGAGAATTTGTATCTGCTCTCCACATCCTCCATCATTTCTGATGCTCATTTATCACTTTTCCAATACCCTTTGATAATCTGCAAACAGGTGTCAGTTACACCACACCTCCACTCACCTCCATAAATTAATCCAGATCCTGGGGGGCTGTAAGCAAAATAGGAACTTGGTTTATTTCTTTAAATACAACCTTGTATTGTGTTGCCAGAACTTGTCTCTTCCCAGCCTCTCGCAGTATCTCCCAAGATTTCCTTGCTGCTGCTGCCAAATGCTGTGTGGACTCTGGTCGTGTCCTTATTTCCCTCCTTGACCCCTCCTCCCCTCCAAGCCTTTCCTTGAGCATTGTGCCTCTGTGTGATTTCCACAATTGTTCTTGTCCTTTGGTTTTGTGGCCTTAATCCTGCCCGCAATGATCAACAAGTTCCTGACCAGCCATGAGGCTGATCAACACCAGCCCTGCTGCGCTCCGACACCGGCTCCCTACATTATTTCATCGTCCACGCTGTAGGATTGCCCTCCTCTCCCTTCCCAAATCTTTCCCTTCTCTTCACAGAGGCATTTCAGGACAGACTAAACACACGTGGCACCAGGGCTGACCCTGCAGCACCCTCCTGCTTTATCTCCTCTCCTCTTCCTCTCTCGGGCACCCGGCGCTTCCCAAGCCCAAGCGCTGGCTTGGTCACACGCTTCCCAGTGCTGCAAATCCCCCTCCCGCAGAATAAAATATCAGATACTTTCCTGAAATACAGATACAGTAAACTCTGGCCATTGTTTCTGCCTTATCTACTGAATCAATAATGTAGAGAAAGAATTCAAGGACGTTTTTCAGACAGGGCCTTCCTTTTTTTAGGCTGCGGTGACGTCCGCACCTTTAAATGGTTCCATAATATTCACTGCCTTTCAAATACACAGAAGAATTGATATCAGGCCTTTGTATCCGCAGTTCTTCAGATCCTTCCTTGCCTTTTATTAAAATATGGGAACGATAATCTCCATGCCTTTGGTTTCCTGATTTGGGTAAGCTGCCACAGAGCTGTGTCAGGCTTTCCTGTTTCCCTTTCTGTCCCTCTGCTTTGGAGTATTAATTCACTGGATCTGATCCCGAGTCAGTTTGGTTGTTTATTGTCAATATGAAGCAATAGTAAATCCTCTGGTTTCTAGTACAATAGGAAAATACATGTTTACAAAAAAAAAGTTGCTGTGGAATAAGCATTTTAGTCCTGGAGCCGTTAAACTGCCTTTCCTTGTAAAATGGAGTTTTAGATGAAAATACAGACAGAGAGGGAAAATAATAAAATAATAAAAATAAATTCTTAGATGAGTATTGTGTGTGTTACAGAACACAAGGAGAAGCTGGTCAGAGAAGCTCAGGAGTGCAGACTGTGCCTGAGCTGTATTAGAAAACTTCTTTGCATGTAGAAGATTCACAGTTATTTAGTGTTAAGTATCACAGGGCACTCAACAAGTTCATCTTTTCATCTCCTCACAGGCTCATTGGAAATAATAGAAAAATCTATTTACCACAATAAAGGCAGAGTGGGACATCAGAAGTGGCTGTGATTCCATTTGCTGTGTTAGATTTCAGTAAGTGGTAAAGGAAAACAGTTGTTGAGCAGAGAATCTGCCTGGCAAATACCAGGCTTTATATAAAGATTTAAAGTAAGGAATCACAACAGGCAGGAGTGTTCATAAAAATATTGATGCTTGTTATTGGGCTGAAAAATGGCCTTTAAATTATATTCAGTACAAATGTAGCAGGAACAATCTTTTAAGACTACTTCTATAGGAGCTGTACACAGGAGACCTAGGTTCCCTTTCTATGTACTTACTAGTTTCATGTGATATTATTAATTTATATTTATAATTCTGAGTGTGAGAGTTGTATTGGAACAAGTCTTAAAGCTTCTTCTCTCATCTCCCCTTTTAGATTGATGCATTGGGTAAACGAAGCAAAGAAGCAGAGGCAGCCTTCTTGAATGTTTATAAGAGATTAATTGATGTTCCAGGTAAGCAAATTATTCCCTTATTCTGAGAAACTAATGGTTCATGTTTGTGTGAATGCTACTGGGCATTTTTCCTACCTTTAATAAGGTAAATATGAGCAATGATTTTGTTCTGGAACTGATAGACTCCTGTATTGTTTCTAATGGAGTGAACTCTAACTGTGGCACATTTCAGGACTTCTCAGTGCATCTACATGTTAATGTTTGTATGAATCAATTTACATTATTATGATACTATGTGATCCTCAGTATTTGTTTTGTTAGAGGGTTCAGACAACTTTAACAAAAAAAAATGCATCTCAAAGCTTTACCAAGAAACAGCAATATTTGTACTTTCAAAGGACAGAGAAAACTTTTCATGCCTTCCAAAAAAAACAAAAGAAAAAGCCTTACTGAAAAGTAAATCACTACCAAATTTCAGTTCTGTGCAGTGTAAGTGTGATCATAAATTTTATTCAAAGGCCTTTATTGTATGTGTTTTCAACTTCCCTTTTGTTTGGCATCTGAACTTTCTTTGTTTGGCATTTGGTTTCAGTTCACTTCTTTTTACATTTTGGGAGTTGGTTTTGGTTTTTTTTTTGTTGTTGTTGTTTGTTTGTATTTTTTCCCAGTGGAAAATAAATAACTGCCTGAACAGATTTTTCTTTTTACATCCATATCACAGGGAGTGAGGAGCCCAAGTCTCCACTGCCACATCTTGACCTGGCTGAGCTTTTGGTACATGACTCTGTGTCATTTTATGGTTTTATAAAACATCACGTATATATATAATATTCCAAATACCTCAAGAGGGCCTTTGAGGTGTAATTAATACTTTTAAATACTTTTAGGGCTTCATAGTACCCTGGCCTTTACTGGTTTTACCATTTAAGGGGAGCACATTTCATTCATGCTTCAAATTATAATTAAATTTTTTATGTTTTAGTTTAATGATTAGCTGGTTGAAAGGTCAGTGTTTTCAGATGCTTAGTCTGAGCTAACAAATATATATTTTTATGAATCCCCATTCATATCTGAGCAGTGCCCAGTGGCCAGTCCCTCTGTAGGGATGCAGGGACTCGCCACGCTCTTCCTGGGCCACAATTTACCTTGGAAATATTTTTAGGTTAGTCATCTGTGGCCTGTGAGTTTTCCTTCTCTTATTTCCTGCTCAGAGTGTCAGTAACATTCTGCTGAACAGAACATTTCCCTTTGGCCACCTGCTCATGCCATGGGAGGAGTGGATAACTCGGAGAGGGTCCCGACTGTCACGGGCAGTTTGCCTGGCACGAGCAGTGTGGGCCTGGGATGGGCACCCACAGCTCTGGCTTGGAAAGAAACCCCTCCATGAGAACATTCCCAACATCTCTGCAGCCTGGGAGTCCAGCAGTGAGCGCTGGGGAGAGGCACTGCAGCCCCTCCATCTCCACACTAACACTTGCTGCAGTTTCCTGCCATAATTTGGGAGCTGAGTAGGTTTGAGTTGGAACAGTCTGGCTTTTTTCACGACTGAGAAGTGGTGTCAAACAAGAGCTGTGTGGGATCCTTCGTGTGCTCTTGTGCACAGGCTTCTTTCTGAAGCCTGGCACGATCACAGGTGCTGGGATCTGAGCAGCAGATCAGACCAAGCCTTGAGGATAAGGTAGGATTTATATCCCACCCATGCTGTTGAAATGGTGAAGGACTTTGTCAGGACTTCTTTGTAGGAGAAAGAATTTTCTCTTTCCTTTCAATTTCAGGAGCAAAATTTACAGCCCTGCTCCCACACCCCACAGCCTCTCTTGCCCCTCCGTCCCCTGCGCGTGCCTTATGTCACCCGTCACAGAAATATTTCTTTGATATTCTTAAAACACATAAAAACTTCAGCTTGGCTGAGTTGGGAGCGCAGTGGAGTCTGTGGGATGAGCAATATCTTCAGGTTTTAGGCCCATGCTCTTACCTGGAGGTCTGAGGTAAAAGTAAACTCCAGGTTCTCCAGGAGAAGTCCATCTCTAGTGTAGCTATGTGCAGGCGTAACAAATACTCACAGTTTACAACACACACTGCAAGGAGAAGGAAAGCAGCCATTAGCAATGTGTGGCACTGGTCTTTGTCACTCTGCTTCATTGCATTGCTCTTTTTTCCCCCCTCTCATCCTGCGTAGTCTGCTACTTTGGGCAGTGTCCATGGAGGTTGGCTGGGTGTCCATGGAGAGCCCTCCTTTATAAACAGCCATCAGTTTTCATTTATCACATGTCTTGCTTTGCCTCCGTGTGGCTTTACATATCTTTTGACCTGTTAGTTTGGTATTTCAAATATTTAGGTACACTTTTAGCTCCCCAATGCTGCTGTGTTTTCTTTTCGGTGTGAGAAGGGAGCGATGATGTTTGGAGGAAGCTATGCCTGGAATGCTGCAGAGTGGTTATTTAGCATTAAGCATCGCTGTTACATGACAAGGGTGCAATTTTATCAGACTTTCAATATCCTTTATAGGACCATATAATAATTGCAGCTGAAGTCTAATTCCCAGCAGCCAATTTTATGGTTCTTGAGGAAAGCGTGTATTTCTCTCCTCAGTAATAATGTGCACACTTTATATAATTAAAAAGGGCTTCTATTTTAATTTTACTATAAAATGATCTGTATTGAAACTCCAGCTACAGTGCTTTATGGATTCAGCAAATTTTAATGATTTTCTTTCCTGACCTGACCAGAGTTTTCACTGAGGCTCACCAGTAAGGAATTTGTGGGAGGGGGTGGTATTTTACTTGTAAATTTTCCTATGTACATCAGGGGGTTTTTCTTTAAAAGATAAAACAGACCTTTTATATATCTCTCTCCAGCTTTATGATGCTGTTAAAATAGCATTATCATTACTTTGTGCTGCAAAATTTATCCTTCCTAAAGGAAAGCACATGTCAAGGAAAACATTTTGGTTTATGTACATTTATACAGCTATACTTCTCATTCAGTTCTGTCTTGCTTGAGACTGAACATTTTTAATTAATGGAATTAATTTTCTCATTTAATTGCCTTATTTTCAGTATGCAGTACAGAGCTAGGGAAAAGTGAATGCTGCCACATGGATTGCGCTAATCAACAAGGTTGTCACAACTTACCTTTAAAAATAATATGAATATAATTATTTTGAAGTAAAGTGAGGTTGGGTCTGTGTTTTGAGGAAGCCTTTTTCCATCTGTTCAAGATTCCTTTGTCTCCAGTTTTATAAAATGAGTGTATTATGTTAACACTCTTGGTTTTTAGGGTCTTAATCTTGCAAGCACTTAAGTGAAATTAGAGCCTTGTTGTGTGTTTGGAGGAATGGTGTTGCCTTGCAGAAATAGCATATTCAAATTTTTTTTTTCCCCCCTAAATCTTTAAAGGAACAATGGTAAGCATTAAAAATGCTAAGTATTTTTATTTCAAAAGGAACTGTGTTCACTACTTTATTTTTTTAAAACAACACTTGAGTGTAATTTTCAAGTAAAAGTTAAAACATGGAGACCAAGTGAATGCCAGGTGTCAGTGTCTGGATAAAGTGGTTAAATAGAGTGTTCTTTCTGCAATGGATCACTGCAGTTACAGCCCAGTGCCACGGTGGATTTGCTCAGTATTTTGTCTCAGTATTGCTCCTCTGCAGGCAAAGAAAATTCTGCCTTTAAACACAAACTCTGCTCTCTGGATGTGGCACAATTAAACCCAGTTGGGTTCAGTCTGTAGAATAGGAAAAAACACAGAGTTTTTTCAGCATATGTACATTTGAGAGCGAGGAAAGGTTAATGAAAACTGTTTGCTTTTGGTTTGGAGGGGCTGTGCCGCCTTCAAGGCTGAGCCAGAAATGGGTTTTGTTTCTCCTTATGGGAATTTTCTCATCAGGAAACAAAACGACTCTCGGGGTGTAAAAGGGGATGTGCGTGTGGTTTTATTGGAGACTCTTCCTGGGTCTGTGCTGTGATCAGATTTGATGCTATATAATGTGTGTGATGTGGGTTTTAGCTCAGAGGACCTGCTATCGAAGGGAACTATAACAAAAACCAGAGAAGGTAAAAATAAGATGGTTTTTTTTAATGCGCCCTGTCAAAACAATCAAAAGCAATAACAGTGAAAGATGGCTGAAGTGGAAATTTTATCTTTCCCTTGCTCCTTGCCGTCATAAATTGCACACCCAGCCAGGGGGATTGTGTCTCAGAAAGGGGTTTGAAGGAGGAGCAGGCTCCTTCCAAAGGAGCTTTCCACACACCTATCACTACATGTAGGATTTTAGCCTACACACAACCCCAGCTCAGCCTTGCAAATTCCAACTGCCCTGCACAGGGTGTTCTTTTTCCAAGGAATGCTTTGGCTGAGGAAACACAAAGTTCTTTTTGAACAAAAGATCAGTAAAGCACTAAATAAGTGTGAGGGAATTACTTCTAAAGGCAGAAATGAAAATTATTTGCAGTGCTTGCAAATAATCAGCCATTTATAAGCCTTTGCCTTTTGATTATTTACAACTCATGGCCCGCTCCAGACTTGCACTGCTGTTTGGGCTACGAGAAAATTCCATTTAAAGTGTATTTGATCAATGTCCTGAGGTTAAAGGTGATACAAGAGAAAAACAGGTTTGATTTTGGATTTGGCTGGGGGCATTTTCCCCCAGAAAAATTATCTGCTGCTTATGTTGGAGGTGATAAATGTGCAAGAAGTTGTTGTGTTTATGTACATCCTGTGACATGTTTGGATTTTTTGGGAAAATATAATGTTAAGCAGAAAGGCTAATGCCAGCCTTGGTAAGGAAGTCTGTATAATAAAGTTTTTTCAGACCCAGATGTCTCATGATGTGCTAAAATTTCAACCTAGGTGTGCCCCCAGGCTTTTCTGCCTGTAGGGAGAGCTGGGTGAATGTAAATTTAGGGGATAATAAAGAGAGGTGAGGGGAAAGAGATTCACTCTGAGGAACTGTGTTTAAGCACATCCCAAAGTAGACTACTAAAAAGAGTTCCAAAAAGTTAATATTTAAAGTGCTCTTGTCTGAGATAATGGTTAATTGTTTGGCAAAACTGTCT